GATGAAACGCTTTTTGGTTTATTACAATATGTTATGTATTGTTATTTCTGTTGACATTTCTGTCTCTTTCTAGAGTGTTTTCCTCCTGGGCATGTGCACACACAGGCTGGCTTAGTGGTGGCCGTGGGTGAAGTCCCTCTGCTGAGCATCACTGTGCCAGGTCAGAACAGAGTGCTCAAGGGAAGCTTCTTCACCTGCCAGGAGAGAGCAGGTGCTGGGAAAACAGCTCCTCCTCTTCCCCCACCAGCCCAGTTCTTGAGCCCATAAAAGAAGGGGCTTTGCTGGGCACGGAGGCTCACGCCCATAATCCCAGCACTTTGGGAGGCCGAGGCAGGTGGATCACTTAAAGTCAGGAGTTTGAGACCAGCCTGTCCAACATGGAGAAACCCTGTCTCTATTAAAAATACAAAATTACCTGAGCATGGTGGTGCATGCCTGTGATCGCAGCTACTTGGGAGGCTGAGACAGGAGAATCACTTGAACCCAGGAGGTGGAGGTTGCGGTGAGCTGAGGATGTGCCACTGCACTGCAGCCTGGGCAACAAGAGTGAAAATCCATCTTTAAAAAAAAAAAAAAAAGTGGCCTCTAGCACTGATTTTCCGGGGAGCTCAGGGTCCCCTAAGGGTCCCCTCTGCAGACAGGAGGGGCTGGCTGCCATCATTTCAGGGCTCCTGCCGCTGTGCTTGGAGGACTCCCCATGACCGTGACTGTGACTGCCACCTTTCCTATTCTTGGAGGGCAAGGGTGGTCTTTGTGTCAGCCCCCAATGCCCTTTCCTGGGTACTGTGTTCAGCATTCAGGTGGCAGACAGAGACCAAGTGCCCTTCTCAGCAGCTTACCTGGCATCCAGGCTCAGGCCATGGGCAGGGAGCCGAGGTGGGCAGTGAATTTCCCCTGGGACCACGAGGCTCGCCCAGGAAGGAAGGAGTGGGTTATGTCGCCATCTATTGCCGGATCTGCTCTGCAAAGGTCAGCCTGGCCTGAGCCCAAATCATCCCTTCAAAAGAAGGACCGAGGTTGGGGGAGGAGAGGACCTGAGAGCTCAGTGGGAAAAGCCCACGGCTCCAGGCTGCCACCGGGGGCTATCTCAGCTCTGTCCCTGCCCTTGGGGCGAAGTCCTTCCTTCCCAGGGCCTCACAACCTTCCTTCTGAAATGATCCTTGAGATTCCACTGCGGGGGAAAGGTGGGGCGCGACAAGGCAGGTCCCCAGGGCGGACCCAGCCCACTGTGCCCTGAGTGAGGCCAGAAAGGTAGCCCTCAACACCAGGATCTGAGGAGCAGGTGGGGCTCTGGGAAGCCTCTGGAACCCGAGCCAGCTTCCTCTGTCCTTGCAAAGTGCAGATGCGTCAGTGGTCTCCAGTGCTGCTGGGACAATGGACTCCTCCACCACACCGTCCTGCAGGCCACTGGGAGCCTGGCTTCATGACACCAGCGGCAGACACGTTTTGCAGGAACACTCTCAAATACGAAGCTGTGCACGGAGCATGTGGGCACGGCTGCCCGTGGGAGGGTACCTGGGACGAAAATCATGAGGGTGTCGCAGACTGGCGTGGTGCCGTGCATGACTGAGGGGTGTCGTGAGCTCCATGCTCTGCATCTGAGCTGAAAAAAGGGGCACTCAACCCCGAAATCCACCTCAGGTGAAAGACTGACTGAGAACAAACTGTGATGTGGTTGGACAAGATCAATGCCACCAGGCAGCCACTTCAGTGCCACGTGCTGCCTGCCTGCCCGCCTGAGGGCCTTAAGCAGCTCATCTGTGACCTCCTGTGCGGAAGGTGGTTTCCATGTGCTTCAGGAACCTCACATCTCCTTGGCAGAGACAGTACACACCACCATCCCTCCGAGCCCCTCGCGTGGTGGGCTGGGGCACCCAGCTTGCCTTCCTCCTTGGTGCTCCCTGCACGGGCCTCCAGCAGAGGCACAGGCAAGCCGATGCAGGACCCCACTGCACTCCTGCGCTCCCCAGCTCCATCTCCACAGTCCACGCGCAGCCAGGTTGCAGTCCTCATTTCTAAAGTGCACTCATAATACATGGATACATCTCAAATTGTTTAGAGCACCCAGGAGAAAACACAGGACCTCCTTTCCCTCCCCGTGCTGTGCTCGCCATAGTGACAGTGTGTCTGCCTGTGACCTCTGGTGCTGTGTATACACACTAGCCTCCATGTTTTTCTTGGAGACAGGGTCTTGCTCTGTCACTCGGGCTGGAGTGCAGGGGTGCAATCACAGCTCACTGCAGCCTCCAACTCTTGGGGCTCAATTGATTCTCCCACCTCATTCCCCCCTCCCCTCTGAGTACCTGGGACTGCAGGCACATACCACTATGTCCAGCAAACTTTTAAAAATATTTTCGGTAGAAACAGTGTCTCCTTGTGTTGCCCAGGCTGGTCTGAAACTCCTGGCCTCAAGGGATCCTTCTTCTGCATCAGTTTTTTTTCTAAGACAGAGTCTCACTCTGTCGTCCAGGCTGGAGTGTAATGGCATGATCTCGGCTCACTGTAGCCTCCGCTTCCTGGGTTCAAGCGATTCTCATGCCTCAGCCTTCTGAGTAGCTGGGATAATAGGCGCCTGCCACCATGCCCAGCTAATTGTTTGTATTTTTAGTAGAGATGGGGTTTTTCCATGTTGGCCAGGCTGGTCTCGAACCCCTGACCAGATGATCCACCCGCCTCGGCCTCCATAAGTGCCGAGCTTACAGGTATGAGCCTCCTAAAGTGCTGGAGCTATAGGCATGAGCCACCATGCACCCAGCCTCTTATCACTTTTAAAATGCAACATACCAACTTTATTTAACAAAGGTAACAGTTAAAGTAACAGGTAAAGTCCCAGGTAAAGCACTTACCATGAGAACTGACTGGAAGAAACGTTCTCGTGAACACCATGTGGCTTCATCTTGCTGAGCGCTGGGGCTGTCAACAACTCAGCTCAGTGCAGGTACCAGGGGTCTGTACCTTCCTCAAATGCTCGCTGAAGACTCACTTACATGCACGTGTGTGTTAAATTTGAAAAAGATGTATTGGGGGCTGGGCACGGTGGCTCACGCCTGTAATCCAAGCACTTTGGGAGGCTGGGGTGGGTGGGTCACCTGAAGTCGGGAGTTTGAGACCAGCCTGGCCAACGTGGTGAAACCCTGTCTCTACTAAAAATACAAAAATTAGCTGGGCGTGGTGGCGCATGCATGTAATTCCAGCTACTTGGGAGGCTGAGGGAGAAGAATGGCTTGAACCTGGGAGGTGGAGGTTGCAGTGAGCCAAGATTGCGCCACTGTACTCCAATCTGGCCACAGAGTAAGACTTCATCACACACACACACACACACACACACACACACACACACACACACATTGAAAAAGGTGTAATGGGTATCCTTGGATAGGTCTCATTTTGTTGCTCTTTTGGAAGAGGTGGTCTCTAAAAAGATCACTCAGTCTGGCTCACAGATCACAGCCGTGGACCCAGCCTAGACTCTGTCGGACGCCAGGTGTCCCGACCCTTGAAGGTGCCGTGGGTTTTGGGTATCTGCATGGAGAGTTCTCTGGGTAATGTGACATGCTGTGACTCCCAGTGCTCATCACAGGACCTGTCTGGGCTACGGTGTTATGTGCCTGTAGTTCCAGCTACTTGGGAGGCTGTGGCAGGAGAATCGCTTGAACTCGGGAGGTGGAGGCTGCAGTGAGCCGAGATCGCACCACTGCACTCCAGCCTGGGCAACAGAGCGGGATTCCAGCACAAACGAAAAGCCCATTCTGGCTGTACGGGCATGTTAGAGAAAACTGAAAATAGACAGCTGGGCAGTTGACCGTGCTGGTGGCTGATGCAGGCCTCAGCTGCGGCTAGGCGGAATGTGTGTGGGGTCTGGGCCTTCCTGAGTCAGGAGGGATGAATGGACGTCTCACGCCAGAGGAGCCAGACCATGGTCATGAGGTCTGGAGGTGTAGATGCGGGCAACATCAGCAAGTTCCTTGTGACCTCTGAGAAAGCCACTCTTCTGGAGCCACCAGTCCAGCAATGCAGGTTGAAGGGAGCACGGGGGAGGGCAGGCACCTCCAGGGAAGGCCTCTTGGCACCCAGGGCCCCTGGTGGCATCACCTGCCCTCCTCCTCCACAAAGAGGGGCAGTGCAGCCTGCTCCCACTGTCAGAAGGTGAGGCCCTGGAGGGTGGGGCACAGGCCAGAGGCCTCCTAGGCCAGGCAGCACACCCAGCCCTCGAGCACGACCTGGATGGGCCCGTTCCCAGCCCTTCGCTGCTGGATTACATCTGAAACGCTCTAAAGTGTTTTTGGGGTGGTGGGAGGCAGATGGTGAAGAGCACTCAACCAATGGGCAGTCTTTCCAAAAGAGGAGCCAGGTAATCCCGGAACTGGAAGCTTGGAAATTCAAGGAAGACAGTGTCTTGGGGAGGAGGAAGTTTCAGGGGAGTAAAGTCAAGTCCCACTGGGACAAAGAAATGCCTGCTGGATCCAATGCGCAGAGCAGGTCAGCAGCAAGATGGGACGGCGGGCCACGGAGTCACTGGCTGAGTGGAGAAGCCAGTGTGGACGGCACCCTTGAAGAAGGTGGGCCAGGGAGGGTGATGAGAGCGCACATGGGGCCGGGAAAGGCTCCGAGGGCGGTGTGGGCGCTGTGGGTGCCTGCGGAGGCTGAGGTGGGGCGGGGGGGGGGGGGGGGGGGGGGGGTGGGGGGGAGGGGGGGGGGGGGTGCCTCCCGCCTCAGCCGCAGGAGGAGCGTGGGACCCTGGAACCGGCCCAGAGAGGCCTGTGTGGAGCAGGGAGCCCCGAGTGTCGGGGTGCAGGAAGGTGAAGCAGCTTCAACTTTCCTGTTACGTTGCTGGCATGGGTTCCCCACAGCGGGAGCGGGTTGTGGGGAACCCCAAGCCTGGTTTGCAGCGTTTCATTATCAGTTGAATCAGAACCGCTGGCTGCAGAGCCCCGGCCCAAGCCCCGCTGGCAAATGGCTGGAAGCTTAGCTGAGTCCGCGCAATTCACTTATACTGGATCTTGCAAAGACAAGGAAGTGTTTTATTTATTTACAACAAAAACATTTGTAACATAATTCTCTCTTCAAAACAGAGAACCCTAGAAAATACACAAAGCAATCTCTACTGGTGTTGACCCAGGGACATTTGCAGCCGGAAGGGGGGCTGGGACTGGGAGGGAAGCCAAGGACTAATTCCATCTGAAACACAAGAAACTGCCTTCCAAAAAGTAGCAGTGTTCTACTTGTCAGTAGCTACGCTTCCCTCCCCTCTGTTATGAACATGAAAAACAGAAAACAGCACCTGTGAAAACACATTTCAGTGGTGTTTGTCAGAGACGCGCCCGGGGCACTCCAGCCCCTGCTCCAGATAGGCGGCTGCCACGGCTGCCCTAGGGAGCTCCCTTCCACCCCAGCGATGGAGAATGCCACAGCTCTCTCCTCTCGTTGGCAGGTGAAGAACCTGGGAATCAAACACAGTTGTTAAAAACACCTCAGGACTCAGCAGTCGCCACACAAAGTCACAGTTGCATGTGCTGGGGGCTAGGGTCAGGGAAGGGCATGACCGGTGACCAGACAGGAGCCAAGAGACAAAGGCTATCACCGTGCGGCCCTACTGGATGGGCTCTGGGAAACTCTTTTTTTGAGACAGTCTCGGCTCTGGTGCCCAGGCTGGAGTGCAGTGGGACAATCTCGGCTCACTGCAACCTCTGCCTCCCAGGTTCAAGTGATTCTGCCTCAGCCTCGCAAATAGCTGGGATTGCAGGTGCAAGCCGTGACTCCTGGCTTTTTTGTATTTTTAGTAGACATGGGGTTTCGCCACGTTGGCTAGGCTGGTCTCGAACTCCTGACCTCAGGTGATCCACCTGCCTTGGCTTCCCAAAGTGCTGGGATGACAGGTGAGAGCCACCTCACCTGGCCCCTCATTCCCTTCTTGCAGAAGAACAGTTCCCTTTTTTGGGGGGCGGGGGGTGGGGGAGACAAAATTGCACTCTGTCACCCAGGCTGGAGTGCAGTGGTGCCATCACAGCTCACTGGAGTCTCGATCTCCTGGGCTTGAGTGATCCTCCTACCTCAACCTCCCGAGTAGCTGTGACTGCAGGTGCATGCCACCATGCCCAACTCATTATTTTATTGTTTGTAGAGACAGGATTTCCCTATTGTTGCCCAGGTTGGTCTTGGACTCCTGGGCTCAAGTGATCCTCCTGCCTTAGCCTCTGAACTGCTGGGATGATAGGTGTGAGCCACCATGCCCAGCCCAGAAGAGCAGTTTCTGAGGTGAGGGGGGAAACCTGCCTGTGACACTTTTCTCTGTGGGCAGCGGCAGAGGGGCACAGTGCGGGGGAAGCATCTTGTTTCTCATTTAAACGTAGGCTGGGCGTGGTGGCTCATGCCTGTAATCCCAGGACTTTGGGAGGCAGAGGTAGGTAGATCACTTGAGGCCAGTTTGAAACCAGCCTGACTGACATGGCAAAACCCCATCTCTACTGAAAATACAAAAATTAGCCAGGCATGGTGGATGCACCTGTACTCCCAGCCACTTGAGAGGCTGAGGCAGGAGAATCAGTTGAACCTGGGAGGCGAAGGTTGCAGTGAGCCAAGATTGCACCACTGCACTCCAGCCTGGGTAGCAGAGCAAGACTTGGTCTCAAAAAAAAAAAAAAAAAAAAAAAAATCTAGTACTGGCCAGGCATGGTGACTCTAACCTATAGTCTTAGCACTTTGGGAGGCTGAGGTGGGAGGACAGCCTGAGCCCAGAAATTTGGGGCCAGCCAGGGCAACATGAGGAGACCCCCATCTCTACAAAAAAATTAAAAGATCTAGCTAGGTGCAGTGGTATGTGCCTGTAGTCCCAACTACTCAGGAGGATGAGGCAGGAGGATCACCTGGGCCCAGGAGTTTAAGGCTGCAGTGAGCCATGATTGCATCCCTGCATGTAAGACCCTGTCTCAAATCTAGGCAAGGTGTGGCAGCTCATGCGGATAATCCCAGCACTTTGGGAGGCTGAGGTGGGAGAACTGCTTGAGCCCAGGAGTTTGAGACCAGCCTAGGCAACACAGCAAGACTTACGTTGTTTCTACGAAACAAAACAAAAAACCAATAAAAAAGTTAGCTAAGCAGTGCCGTGTGCCTGTGGTCCTGGCTCCACAGGAGGCTGACATGAGAGGACTGCTGAGCCCAGGAGGTCAAGGCTGCAGTGAGTGTGTCCGGACCACTGCACTCTAGCTTGGGCAAGAGAGTGAGATTCTGTCTCAAAAATAAATAAATAAAAATCCAGTACGAACAGTGCTTTTTTTGTGCTAGAAATATGATGGTACTCTGTTGGTGAAGCTCTAGTGCACATCTAGCCTTTGTTGAATGGCCTTTATTACAATTTCTAAAAGTCATGGCACCCGGGAAATTCAACTTACAAAGTCACCGCCCTTACGGAGGGAAGTGGGACACAGAGATGAGTACATAAATATATAACACGTGCTATCGAGAAACGTAAGCAGAATATGGGGATACAGGGTGATGTGGTTGCTACTTAACATAAAGTAACCAGGAAAGACTTCTTTGACGAGGGGACATTTAAGGAGACAAGCTTCTCTATGAATGGTCAGAAGAACTTTCTGGGCGGCAGGAGTATCAGTGCCAAGGCCCAAAGCGTCAGGAACATGATCAGAGTGTTTACGAACATCAAGGAAGCCAGTGTGGCTAAGGCAGAGTGAACACGGAGAAGAAAACGAGGAAGTGAAACTGGCGTGGCAGCAAGAGGCAAACCACGCAGAGCCACAGAGGCCTTCGGAAGGACTTTAGACTTTATTCTGAACGTGCTGGGAAGCCAACAGAGGTTGTGAACCTGGGAATACTATTAACAAAAGGATTGCTCTGGCTGCTTTGTGGAAAGCAGACTGCAGGGGATCAGAGCGGAAACACGGAGGGCACCCCTCGCTCTGGGCAGGCCGTGTGGCTGCTCTGCCGGGTGAAAGGCGGAAGTCTCGGTGCTGAGTCGGCGCCCTGGTCTGGGCTCGCAAAGACGGGCAGCAGCTACTCTTGTCTTTTGCAGCATGTCCCTTCCCCTTTATTCCTACGAACCCGGGCTGCCACAGAAGTCCGACTACGTAAGACCATTACATGGACAGTCCTGCTGAGTTCAGGCTTCCCGCCGTCCCAGCCAAGGTGCCAAAACACATGGCTGAAACCATCTTGGATGCTCTGGGCCAGCCCATCTGTCAGCTGAATGCCACCAAGTGACCTCAATTGATACCACATGGAGGAGGAGGATCACCTGGTGAGCTCAGCACTAATTCCTAACCTAAAAAACTATGAGACAGCATAAAACGGTGGTTTTAAGCCACTAAATTTTGGAGTAGGTTGTGACTACATGGCGACAGATAAAGAGAACGGGGAAACGGAAGTGTGCTGCTGTCAGGGCTTCCTGGGACAGTGAGGTGGAACAGCATTATTTAGACTGTGGTCACTTAAAGCTGCAGATTACACTAGAGCAGCCACTCAAAGAACCACAGTGGTATAGTGAATAATACAATGGAATACTTAAACAAAAACCCCACAAACCACTTCAATCCAAAAGGAAGAAAGAAAAGAGAAAAAACAGATACACACAAAGAGAAAACTATGGTACAGCAGGGCTTCCAATAACGTCATTTCATTCAATGTCATTTCCTTCTAACGCTGATGAAGGGAAAAAATTCCAGATGGGGCCGCTGTCTGTCTGAGTTGGCACATTCTGCTCATGCCTGCGTGGGTTTTCTCGAGGTACTCAGCTTCCTCCCACATCCCAAAGACGTGCACATTAGGTTACTTAGTATGTCTAAATTACCCGAGTGTGAGTGTGTGTGTGTACCCGATGATGGAATATGTGCATGTGTGTGTACCCTATGATGGAGAGAGTGTGTGTGTATGCATACCCTATGATGGAGAGAGAGAGAGAGACAGAGTGTGAGTGTGTGTGTGTGTGTGTGTGTGTGTCCTCTATGATGGAGACAGTGTGTGTGTGTGTCCTCTATGATGGAAAGGTGTCCTGCTCAGGGTTGGTTCCCAGCTTGTGCCCTGAGCTGCCAAGTTAGGTTCTGGCCGCCTTCGACCCTAAACTGGAAATAAGCAGGCTGAAAAACGAGTAAGTACAAATTACTGCAAAATAAAAATTCATAAAGTATATGATACTCATACAAATGCACAACAATAAATAGCATGGTATGAAAGTGCTCAGCAAGCCTGCCAGATTGGTTACTGTTTTTGAACTGTATGGTGGCAGGAGGTGCTCCTTACCATTTCAGCTTCACAAACATTTACTCCTTGATTTAACCCACCTCCACTATGACCACCATCACTCACTGAGATTCACCAAAAATTGGGCAAACAATTAGGTGTTTCTATTAATCTTTTCCTGAATGTATCTCTAAGGTCACATTTCTTCTAATGTTTAAAATTAGAAGTGCTTGGGATCTTTATTTACGAGTTTGGCAATCAGAAATATGCCAGAGGAACTTAACACTTGTTTATATCAATTTGCCTATACTAAAATTAGTTTCATTATACTTTGTTTCACTTCAAGTCAGTTTCCAAGAACCTATGGAGGATGTTAAGCAAGGACTGACTTACACGCAACCATATCAATACATGTACTAAATATAAATGGTCTAAACACTTGAGCTGCTGAAAGGCAGAGATTCTAAGAGTGAAATTAAAAAGATGCAACTATGCTGTTTATGCTAAGAGATACACATTAAACAAACATAGATAGGTTATAAATAATAGGATGGGAAAATATATAGCATGCAAACAATAATCAGAAGCTGGCATGACTATATTATGATTTTAGAACAAGTAATATTACTGGAAATAATGGAGGATATTTTATACAAGGGTCAATTCATTAAGAAGCTGTAACAATGTATATGTATCTAATATCACAGCTTCAAAATCCATGAAGCAGAAGCTAACAACTGAAAGAAGAAATAGGCAAAACCACAATTACAGCTGGAGATTTTTACACACATGGTCCCAACTTCTAAAGATCAGAATTAGGATTTTTTGACTTTATGATGGTGCAAAAATGATATGCATTCAGTATACTCCCTTATGATGGGGCTACATCAGGATAAACTGTCAGCTGATTGTAAGTCTGACACTTTCAGCTTACAATATTTTCAGTTTACCATGGGTTCACTGAGGCATAACACCATCATAAGTTGAGGAGCATCTGTATTCCCTTCTCAACTGACAGCACAAGCAGACAGAAAAATCATTAAGGATATAGGAAACCTGAACAACTCTACCAACCAATCCAACATAATTAAGGTTTATAGAATACCATAATCAACAACTGTAGAATACACAGAAGTGCATATGGAAAAATCACCAAGATCATACGTTGTGTCAGAAAACAAGTCTCAATACATTAAAAAGACTGAAACCAGACTAAGTTATCTGACCACAGCAGAATGAGAAAATCAGGAA